TGATATAAACCTAAAGCGGGTCCAAAACAAATAGAGGACTTACATCGAAAAGTTGACATACATGTATGATGTATTTTGCTCAACACCACTTTCTAACGCTTTGTCCGGACCAAAAGCAGTATATCCAGTTGCGCAGTAGCTGAGCCGAGTCGCTATGAGCAGTCGAGTGTCCGCACCAAAAGCTGTTTTGGCAAGCTGTCCAGTAGCAATCAATTTGCTGGCTGCTCGTGCACTCCTCAGTATCAGCTTGCATGTTCTCACCAAAAGCAGTATAAAAGCAGTGTGTACTAGACTTTAGCTCTCTCTGCTAGCTCGCTGCTTGCATTGGAGACAGGGGCAGCTCAGGACAAATCCCGATTAAGGGATCCGTGTCAATCCGTACCGATAGGAACAAGAATTCCTCTATAAAGTTCCAATAAAGGTACGCAGACAAAACCTGCTATTGGTCAAGATCGCTACACATAGGGTGCACCTAATTTGTAGGTTGAGAAACAATGCCTATCGTCCCGAATCTCCGTTGCGGGGGACACATCACGCACCATCGCGCACAGTCGCTCACCGCGTTGTGTCATGAGACGTCATGCGGCTGGACCAGGGAAAGTTTTAAATGACCATAGCAAAGCAGGCGTCCATCGTTGAAAAAATCTAACAACATTTTTGAAATCAGCATCCTTCAATATAGGGTAGACTCGAGCAGATTTGGTTATTTCTCAGTAGTATAGAATATAATAATTAAGATTGCTATTTCTATAGACAAAGCATCAGTGTGTTATTATTTCTGTCTTGACGTTGACTATGCTTTGGGTGTTAATATGAAGTGTGTAGTCTGATACCATTCACATACTGCTTTTTAGCCCGTAAGCTAGGCCTAGACAAAAGTAGAAAATTACAGTCTCACACAGCTGAGCTTTTGTAGAAAAGAAAGATCTAGATTATATATATATATACATAAGAGGCAGCGCGGTGGAATCAGGCTCACGTCAATTTTTGGGCACATCGAGTTATTGTATCATCTTAAAACTAGTTCACTTGTCTTTATTTGGATGAATAAAAATACCCGTTCATCTTAAATACAAGTCGAGATATTTGAGAATGAATGAGTTGGGGGGTCACCTGTTTTCAGAGGTAAAATTAGTGAGAAAATGGCCGCCAAAGATTCGTTATTTCCTTCGCATAAGAGTCCGTGGTAACTGAAAATTTACATCGTTTGTGCCTTTAATCAACGTTTTTCAGAAAAATCCACACAGAAATGAGTTCTTTAATGGGCATGAAAGGTGTTGAGCCCAAAAACAAAGTTTCTTCCCTTTGATTATTTTGACGAAAGCCTGATTCCACCGTGCTGTCTCACACATTATATGTGAGGCAGCGTGGTGGAATCAGGCTCTCGTCAATTTTTGGGCTTGTTGAGCTATTGGTATCTTCTTAAAGCTTGTTCACTTGTCTTCATTTGGATGAAAAAAACATCCATTTATCTTGAATACAAGTCGAGACATTTGCGAATGAAGGAGATGGGGGTCACCTGTTTTCAGAGGTAAAATTAGGGAGAAAATGGCCTCTAAAGATTACTTATTTGCTTAGCTTACGAGTGCGTGGTAACTAAACATTTACATTTTTTTGGGCCTTTAATTAACGTTTTTATGAACAATCCACGCAGAAATGAGTTCTTTTATTGGCATGAAAGGTGTTCGGTCAAAAACCCCCCAGAAATTTGATAAAAATTCACAAACCTGCAGAAAAATGCCGGTTTCTTCACATTGATTATTTTGACGAGAGCCTGATTCCATAACGCTGCCTCACACACACACACACACACACACACACACACACACACACACACACACACACACACACACACACACACACACACACACACACACACACATATATATATATATATATATATATATATATATATATATATATAATATAATATATATATAACAAACATGGATGTTGATATGCTAATAGCCTATGTGTACAATATTATTATTTTCTGTAGAGATCCTTTCTGTGCTCCCAAGATGAGATCCTACACGTACTTATTTCAAGTATACTTGTTTAGTTTTTTGTGCCCCCCACAGTTCATAACATGGCGGGGAGTAAAATATGTTTGATGCATTAGAGCTCCAACACAGTGCGTCCAGCATCAGACCAGCAACAGCACAGCAACAGCACAGCAACAGCAAAACGACGGGTCAAAATTTTAGGTAATATAGATTGCACTACGCCTAACGGAGTGGTGCCGTTTTGTCCGACCAGCGTGAACCCTGCATGAATCCAGCGTTCGCCCGTCGTTTTGCTGGTAATTTCATTTTAGTGCGACACTAAAATTCAACCAGCACGGACCAGACAAGCAAGATGGAGGCAGAAGCATTGATTGAAGCAGTGAGAAAAAGAGAAGTCCTATTTGACAAAAGTAATGAGAATTATTCAAATAGAGTTGTAATAAACCAACAATGGATTGAATTTGGCGAGGAAGTCGGAATTGATGGTGAGTAATAATATTTATTAAAATCTTATCTAATTCAATTATCGAGGTTAAAGTCCCCCCCCCCCCCACTTCTCTCTCTCTCTCTCTCTCTCTCTCTCTCTCTCTCTCTCTCTCTCTCTCTCTCTCTCTCTCTCTCTCTGTCCCTCTCTCCCCTCCCTCTCTCTCTCCCCCTCTCTCCTCCTTTCTCTCTCTCCTCTCTCTCTCTAATAATAATTAATAATAATAGTGATAATAATAATATTAATAATAATAATTAATAATAATAATAGTGATAATAATAATAATAAAATAATAATAATAATAATGATAATAATAATAATAATGATAATAATAATAATAATAATGATAATAATAATGATAATAATAATAATAATAATAATAATAATAATAATAATAATAATAATAATGATAATAATAATGATAATAATAATGATAATAATAATAATAATAATAATAATAATAATAATAATAATAATAATAATAATAATAACAATAATAATAATAATAATAATAATAATAATAATAATAATAATAATGATAATATTGGACTATACTGGATCCAGTTTCGGCCATTGAGACCTCCTCAGCAGCCCTGTATAAATTGTCTTGCGACAAGGGAATTAAGTACCAGCCCAGAGTGCTTTGGATTGACCCAGCTGGGATTCGAACCCACGACTTCCCACATCGCAAGCGAACGCTCTACCACTTGAGCTAACATTGTTGTTTGACTCAAAACAATAATAATAATAATCATTGGACTTATTATTCTTAATAATAACAATAATAATCAAAAGAAGGTTATTCTGTGTATTTCACCATGAGATTTATCTGGCAACACATTGATCATTTTGCCATGGAAGAGTTCCAGCAGGGGATGTGAAATAGTTCATCAATGTTTCTCACACTTTCAAGGCATTTATTGTAGATCGAACGTTACCATTAATATTGGATCCTTGAAAGCCTGAAAGAGTATTTGGGGTTTGAATCTGCTCACCCATTGAATCACACGGCGATACACGAAAGGGTTCTTGTATTAGAACAAAGTTGTGAAGCACAGTTATTGCTGTCTACTGGTATATTATAATATATACATGTATTACCATCCCAACAGGTGCAACTGCAAGAAAGAAATGGGCAATGCTGAGGGATTCTTTCCGGAGGCAACATAAGAAAGAAACAACTTATAAATCTGGATCAGGGGGTAAATACCAGAAACTGTGGTACCTGTACAAAGACATGCTGTTTTTAATTCCTTTTGTTGAGGATGGAAATACCTCAACAACCAATTTGATTGAAGGGCCGGAAGATGAGCAGGAACTCCAACAAGCATCCCAGCTTCGGGAGGATAACGTGGAGACAATAGCCAACACTGATGTGTTTTCACGGGGTGGAAGTCCATTCACAAATCCACAACCTGGTCCAAGCCATACTCCAGATATTACAAACTCATCTGCTACTCCCAAACGGCATGCCAGGAAAAGACCGTATCCCCCGTATCCCCAAGACCGAGGATCTAGATCTACCTCTCCATCCGCTTTCGACATTGCAATTCTACAATCCCTTAAAGGGTTGCAACAACAACAGACACAAAACCACCCCAGGACGATGACGAACAGTTCCTGTTGAGTTTGTTACCGGTGATGAAAGGGTTGGACCCAATATCTAAATTTGAGTTCCGTGGAGAGCTCAACAATACAGCTCTAAGATATCTGCGGCGTTCGAGACAGCCATCACCACAGTATGAAAGCAACGATGCATTATCTCGTACTCCAACCCCATCACCCGCATCTTCTTCAGCTTTTGCCGATATCAACACGTACCAATACAATCAGTATGTCCCAGCAACTGCAAGCTCACAAGTTGATCCAATTTCCTCCCCACCAGGCGACCCATACCAGTATCACCAGTAGCCTACCAGCAATACAAATAAATTACATCCAGTTTTTCCATTGCACATTGTCTTAGTTTCAGTGAACAAGTGTGTGTGTGTGTTGATAAAAAAAAAGTGAAATAGATAAATAAAAAGATAAAAATTAAAAGCTTTGTGGAATCAATCAAATTCATGTAAGGGGCCGTTCACAAACCATATGGACAGCTAGTGGGGTGTGTGTGTGTGTGGAAGGGGAGGGGGTGTCATTCGTCCACACCTGCAAAGGGGGGGGGGGGGGGTCCAAAATGGTCAAAATTTATCCACATGTTTTGTGAACGGCCCCTAATATGTCTACATTGTGTCATTTTCTTCGTTATAACGAAATACCAAAAAACAAATGTCCTTAGTTTGGTAAATGAAGCCAATCATGCTCAATGAAATTCTAGCATTCACAAAGTGCCCTTGTTGACTTTAAGAAGGCTTTCAAATAATTTAGCAATTAGTAATGATAAATAGCCTAAGTTATAAACTTATGAGCGTTGGTGGCCGAGTGGTCAGAGCGTCGGTCCGTGGACCGGGGGGTCGTGGGTTTGAGCCTCGATGACGACGAAACCAAATCGTGGTAATGCGTGTTGTCCTTGTCAAAAAATGATTGTAAAAGCGCCTAACTGGCCGCATGTGGTGTCCTAAATGTCATATGTGCGTTGCCCGTCAGGAGTAGTATTGTAAAACGCTCTGAGCTAATATATGGGCTGGGAAAAGCGCTATGTATTTATTATTTATATTTGAATTGTTCTTACCTCAAAGTTATCACAGGGGGGCTCTCGTGGCCTAGATGTTAAGGTGTTCGCCTCTCATTCAAAGGTCCCGGCTTCGAATCAGGGTAGGGACCAAAATATTTTCTTCTCTAAATTTGTCTCCTTTCACCTCCTTTCCTACTCTCTAGCAATGTTCTGTCGTCTGCTTTCGTCTCCTCTATCTGCCCCCCACACCTTTACCTCCTTTGCCCCCTCCTCTGGGCTCCTGATTCTTTCTGCAGCCTTTCTACTGCTACTCATTGGCTTCTTCTTACTGCTGTCTTTCAGCCACACCCCTGATCTTCTGGTAGAAAAGATCTACACCTAGCCTTCTCGGACAAGGGCGAAAAATCTCGGAGGTCCCGTGTGCAAGTTGTGCACGTTAAAGATCCCTTGGTGGTCTAAAATCGATAAGAGTAGGCTTCGGCCGTCACCCGGGCAAAATTCAAAATTTCCTACCAACTGAAAAAGTTTAGTGTGTCCCGCGCGCTCATAAGACCTTATGCAGTTGCGAGCGCCGTAAAACACTTACAAAAAAACAAAGTTATCACAAGCCGTTCTTCAGCAGGGATCGATTTTAGAAAATTTGTCTCTCTCTTTGCAATATGGGGTCCAATCAATTCAAGAAGCATGTAAAAAGTACTTGGTTTCATCGGAATGTATGATGATAGGCATTTCTCCTCACTTAAAACTTCATCTACAAGATGGTGGAATTCGCCGTAAGTTTCTCTTCGTTGATGGATGCTATGAACCCAAAACCTAGTATGACAACGTCTTTGTTTTCAAACAATATACAATTGTTAATATTTCAGCTGCCATGTTTCAATTCGAATTCCGTACTACACACAACACGCTGGAACAGTGACGGGTACACTACATTATGTCATACAGCACGACACCAGCACAGCAAAGACCCAGCAAAATGCTTGACAGACGCTGTGCTGTTGCTGGTCTGATGCTGGACGCACTGTGTTGGAGCTCTTAGATGGACACTTCATCATTATTGACACAGTCTCTTGTATTTGAGGGCGAGATAGAATACTGGGTTCATCCAAATAATGCCGAAAGAGACACATGCAAATTCATCTTGTCTGCAATTTCTTGAATTTGTTCTCTCTTGGTTTCTCTGTTCATAAAGTTAATGTCCTGTCTTCGCCAAACGCATGGACATTGGTGGGTACTTGAAGCAAGTGAAACTCTCCATGGATAAATACAGATAATTTCCTTACATTTCTGATTTAACAGGGATCTGATATAACAGGACTTTTTCTGGTCGCACCATCCCCGTTATATCAGATTTCCACTGTAGGTCTAACAGAAATGTGGAAATGGCAGTACTTTTGAACAACTTTGCCTGCATTCTGATAATGATTATGTTCAACTTCCATTAAAACAATGGTTCCAAAATAAATCTGATTAAGATATGTGATGAAACGGCCGTTGGCAGTTGTGGGGGTGATATTGATGATAATTATGAAGGTAAGTTTATTAATTTTTTCCTCGGCCAAAATTGGCTCCAGTCATTTCTGAAAATATACTGCCATGCACAACTGGAGTGCGCCGCTAAACGGATAAGCAGCTTGGTCGGAAGTGCAAACCTAGGCTTTGCAACAGTAGATGGAAGAGGGAAGACAACGACATAAATGCAATCCGTTTTGTAAGTATAAAATTGTATTTTTCTTTTACTCAATAACCTTGTCTCCTCCCGCCCCTCCCCCACCACACCCGGGAAAAGTACATGATATCTCTTCATTTGCAGCCCACATTTAAGTGCATTTAGGTTTCCCAAAATCGGTCAGCAGGTGCAGTATTGTGTATGCAAATATGTTATGAGAAAACAGCAAACAAAAAGAAAAACTTAAAACTGAACTGAGCTTCATAGTCTATGAAGACCTAGGTGTTGCGATGGACGCACAGCGTGACAGGGCCGTTTCTAATCCTCTAAAAAAATGGCGACAAAGCGAGTTGAGTGGGACCGCACAGCCGAAGGGAGTGTACCTCGGTGACGTCACAGCTGCGACATCTAGTACTATTGTAACCTCTCTAGAGTGTAGCATTTCCATCGAGTAGACGGTTCTGGTTACGTCTGTGTGGTTCCGATCACATTCCAGTTAGGGACCGTTTACAAATGTCAGCCAAAATTGTGATGCAAAAATTACCCCACACCCCTTTTTGTCACCTTTCCAAGGACCCCCCCTCCCAATTGACGTCAACCAAAATATGTACATTTAGATAGAACAACTATCCTAATCAGAACAACTATCCTAATCAGAACATCTGTTCTAATCTAGCTTCTAGCAGTCTTGTGTTATGGGGAGATAAGCCCCCTCAGTCCAATTAACTGTGGTCTATAGCATCCTCTCTCCCTCCCCCCCCCCCCACAACCTTTTAGAGTTGACGTCAACTTTGTTAGGTCCCCCTCCCTAACCGTCAACTAACCGAACAACTAACCGAACACCCCTCACCATCTGAGCTGACGTCATTTGTGAGCGGTTCCTAATGTTGACACAAACTACGATGACTGGCATATTAAAGAATAAGTAACATCTTGTAAGGAAACAATGCGTACAATTTGGATGCAAGGTAGCTTTTTATTAAGAACTTCCTAACAAGGGCGTTCAACAAATGGATTCATGCGGTCAGCCAATTTATCGCTTACATGAACGTTATTCTAGTGTGGGCAAACGCAGAGACCGGGGTTGCAGCTGGTTTTTTCACATTGGTTCAAACACCAAACGTCGTAAACCGAATTACGTCCAGGACAGGTCCTTCCATCAAGATTACATGTACAGAATTGTGCTGGACAGTTGTCCAGTGCACAGTTTGAAGAGCACCAGGTGTCCATATCACTCCATGCACGGCAGGAGCCAGATGAGCATGTGCACTTTAATCCAGCTACTTCTCCGGGACATCCCGAGCTGGAGCATTCGTCAGCGCATTTCTTGTCTCTGGCCTGTCCTAGGTTGCCTCTGCACTGAGAAGTTGGGGGTGCCTGGGTGGTGAGAGGTGGAACAACGGTTGGCATCGGGGTAGGAGTTTGATAAGGAACCGGGAAAGGAGTCTGGGCAGGAGGTGCTGGACCACCCAATGGCATAATTTCAATATCAGCGCAGTTGATGAATTCCTCCTGGTGGGCTTGACCAGGGCTGTTACCTGCAAAATACAAAAGTGAAGTTTTTAAAACAGTTTTAGATCTGCGGCAAGTAATTTAGCAACAGAACAAATACCGAGACGAAAAGAGGACTCACTCCGACAACCGAAGCTTGAACTGCAGTTGAAAAATTGCCGTGACCACTTTTCCAGTTTGAATAGATCTCCCCATGACGAGGAATGTTTATGCGAGTTTGTGGGGCACTCTATAGAGTATGGTAACCCCCCCCCCCCACCGGAAAAAAATTCCTTAAAAGGCATGATTTGTTGTGAGCATGGTCAAGACATGAGAACGGCTGGTCAACTTGGACCGTTAACTGATAATAAAGAATGTTTAATTTTTAGAAATTTCAAAAACGCCCCACCCACCTCACTCAAATCAATCGTTCCTTTAAAAAAATTCTCGACTTTTTAACGAACACTTGCAAAACCACATTTAATTAATAGCCACTATGGGGTACTTACTGGCGTGGTATTTCCATTGCAATACGCAATGTGTACAGGAGAGGCCAACCGGCAGACTGACTGTCGTCTCGATGTTTCCCTTCCTGGACCCAATGTGATGCTGGATATTTCCCGGACGGCCAGCCAGAGACAGTGGATACCGATCTAAGCAGGCCTGTGTCACTTTCTCTCCTATCCCCACAGGGCACACTCGGAATTCGAACCAACCTGGTAAAATTCGCACATGGAAATGCAAAAGGATGCTTTTCATTCTGGGGAAAGGGGTAGGGTGGGAGATGGCAGTCAAACTGTATACAATAATGGTAAAAACATCTAATACCGCACCCAAGGTATTAAGGGAAATACCTTAATAAAATCTGCACACAAAAATGCAGCAACGTTTAGTTTTCATTTTAGTAAGAGTTTTGCGGCCCTTGCAGTGCAAATAGACCAAAGGACTGAAGATCAAGCGTTACTTTTACAGAAAGAAGCTAACAAAGAAAAAGATGCAGTGACGATAGACCCTAGAAAATGAGCAGACCACAGTAGCACCCGCGAACCAGCCACACGAGAAAATTTTATTCTAGGGGGTTAATCTGGCAGTCAACAGTTTTAACTTTGAAGTAAAGAGAAAGACATCTACACGAAAACCGTTAGTTCAGGGAAAAGCAAGACAAAATGACCAAGGGAAAGAAATGAAGGGAGCTATCTTTTATGATCAATGACCAAGTTGGCGTTTGCACCACCCAACCACCTGCGAACGTCGACAGATAGGCATTTGATTTAAGGAGTTTCAAGTCACTGTCGACTTTTGGGTTATGTCAAGTGCTAGATCTATAAATTATTCTGTGACGCATGATCCAAGTAGTTACCTTACAAAGATTTCTCTGGGTTGGATCTAGATGGTCAAAAAAGATGCATAAACCCTAACGAGAGTAACATCTCAAGAGCTTGCCGACATTTCGTTCAATAGCACGAGGGTAGGGTTTGCGAGTTAGAACATTGTTTAATAGCACTATTTAGACAAATATTTGCAAGTGCCGAAAACTAATCACTAACCTGTCGATTGAAGAGCCAAAATTTTACGGAAACCAGAAACCAAATGTTCCGAACTACTGTAGCTGACAAACTATAAAACATTACCGAAACACCCCCAAGAATGGGTTCAGCCAGAAAATGAAACGCAACGATTTGTTTTTTTGTTGTTTTTTTAGTTCAGACAGATGTAAATTCGACTCTAAAATCACCAAGATCTAAGACCAAGCATTTGTCAGAACTTGATCATAAAGTGAAGAGAAATTTAGTGAAGAGCGTTCGACAAATGATCTGGTCATTTTTAGTTTCAATAGTTTCATGAATACAAAACAATGCCTGAAAAATTCCTTAACCTGTTTACGATTTACAGTCCAAGTGACAATTGTCACAGCGAAAGTTTAGTTTTAGTAAGACTGACGGCAACACAAGGACATAAAAGTGTCGACATCCAGGTGGAACAAGAGCCACAAAGAAAATGGAGGCGAGATGATAGACGTTTGATAGCAAAGAAGTAACAAAACAGGCCAGGTCAACCATCAACCTCCCATCGTACCTAGATGATTTGCAGTGATCGTCGCAGTGAAGGTTACGTCCGCTCCTTGCTGGTACCTCCCAGTTATTATATTTTTGGCGTATTTTCCCCCAGCCTCGTTTTCGAGAGGTCCTTTCCACGGGTCTCCGCAAACGCCGCATTTATATCCATGCACCTTTTGATACTGTGGAAGAAAGTTTTTGAAAAGAGCTCATGTAGTGCTGGGAAAATATATAACCAAAGGGGCGGAGCGTTAAAAAAACCCAGTCGGGTCCAACAACCCGCGGTGAAGTAGAGGCACTGTAAAGGAAAAAGAAAAGTCGGACCGAATTACAAGTAAAAAGGCAGCTTGAGTCGTTTTAGAAAACAGTATTAGGGCACTTGTGGCAATTAAGTATAATATAGGCGCCGAAGACGAGACATGATAAGTAAAGATAAGGACGTTAGACAGGAAAGGAGCAACGCACCAGACCATCCACCAACCAAACAGTGCGAATGTAGAACTGCGAAAAAGTAACATTTAAGACGGCTGTGATATACAAAGTAACCTGACGGTAAATAGTCACACGGTGCCAATATTCACTTTTAATAATAAAGTGACAGTTTATGATTTGAAGTGTGTGTAAACAAATTACTGTAATAGTAATAGAGGTACCGGTAGTAGCTGCTAGTGACCGAGGAACAGAAAGACGTAGATCTGTACTTTGTAACATTTACGGATAGACGAAATTTAGGACGGTTTCGATATGCAATGTGCACGTAACGGCAACGATATTTTAAGAACAAACCCGACACTTTTATACGCCCTAATAATCAAGTTTAAGAACAAAGAAAGGACATTCTAAAATGTTAAGTATGTGAAAAAATTATGGAACGATGCCAGTGTATATTACTGTAACATTGGCGGCACTATTGACTCAGTTGTTAAACGGATAGAAGATGCAAGAAATGGCAATATACTTAACTGTAAAAGAATCCGAAAAATATGGAAAGCCCATATCAATAAGCAACCATTTAAATGATAAATATATAATTATCCCATTACTCCTTGTTATTCGACCTATGTAAGCAGAGCGTTTCACGCTGTCCAATGTGCAAATGCCGAGCATTGTTCGATTTGTTAAATCATTTTCAACAGAAAAAGGAAATTAAAGATCGTAAAGGGAAATCCATATCCCGTAGTACTAGGCTAAGAGGATAATAAGTCTTGAAAAAATACAATAGAATTAAGACAGCCAAAACGGATTTTAAGAACAAAGTCTAAACGGGGATAAATTCATACCTTATACGAGTTGGAGTGTTTTACGGTACTGCTGATTCAGTTTGGTTATGCAAATGTAACTATTACTATTTCCTTCCGCTTTCGACTAAATGGACTACCATAGATATTAAAAACTCACATTACCAAATCTAAAGCATTCCGCAACTTTCAAGCATTTAGAGATATTGTACTCTTAGATTCAAGCAGCTGTATATTTTATACACTACGACAAGCACCAAACGGCAAAAGACTAATTGCATGTCCCCAAAAAAGGAACTTTCCCCAAGGAATTGTGGAGCATAATCGAAACAAGCTACCAGTCCGCCATTTATAGGCGAGTGCTTTATTTTATAGGCGAGTGTTTTATAGGTTGAAGCACTTGCAAACTTAGATAAGCGACTACGGTGAAGTATGACAAGAAAGTAACAAACCAAAAGGAGAAATAAGGACGAAAGAGGGAGGAAACCCCACCAGAGCATCCACTAACCGCCCACATAAGTTCTGGGAACAGGGGGGAGGGCAAAGGGCAGTACCGAAATTCCTCCACAGTTGAGGCCATTGTCATCGTAGTTTTGGGGCGGGTGCATGGGTATGAATTTCTGTACTCTCCATACGGAACTGCGTTGAGCTGGATCTATCAGATAGCCGTGTCCGACGGTGGGGCTGGGCAGCAGGGTAGCCACGCCCACCACAACCAAGTACAACAGAGCCGACATCTGTTGCAATAGGAACGTGTGGAGAAACTGAGAATTAGGAATTTTGTTACCTGGAACGACAATGTATTGCAGAGAACTGACACAGCTACGACAATTTAGCATCCGAACAACTGACTAACTCACCTAGTTTTACTTTAAGTTACCCAAATGTATTTGGCCTCGTCTAGACAAAAAATTATCACGACCACGTAGAATATTTTAACCTTTCAGCCGGCAGTTTTTGACCTCTCATAAGTGAATACAACGCACAAGCAAGAAACAGCCGTGATTTTTTCCCTATCTGGAAACAGAGGCAAAGCGCATGTTTGTAATGTTACACCACAGGCGCAGATATATAAACCAAGCGTTATTTTTGAAAGGCAAAGTGATCAAGATTCTCGTTACTCGTGAAATGGCCAAAAATAAGATGGCTTCTACCTGTAAACAAAGCACCCATTACATAGGGGTAAAATAATCCCATTCTGCCTTGGGTTAAGGTCTCATGGGACAAACAATGACATTTGGAACAGACAAGAACCAAAAGGGGTGTCCAACCCTAATCAGGGTTTTAATGTACATTTTATTTGATAAGAGTTGTGCCACACATCTAAAAAAAAGATTTGTTTGTGTGTGGGTATGGGCGAGGGGGCGGGGGCTGTTTTACAAACCCAAGAAACAAGCCTTTGCAGAGTTTATACAAATAATAACGTACTATCAACGCAATGTGCCCATGTAAGCACCCTAAACACGAGTCTGCAATAGGACTATTAACTAAAGGGACAGTGTCTTTAATAACACTGTACTTGTTACGTCTTCACAATAAGACAATACACCTGTAATAATGAGATTAACTTTACTTTATTTTGTCTTTTTTTTAAAAGGAAACAGCATTCGAACAAGAAAGACGTCTACTCAAACAAAAATGAAATTATGAAACTGAAATTTAAATAAAAAATAGTTTTTAACATAAATCTAAACTTACTCGAAATAAAACTCAATCAAACAGAGAACATACTCACCTCAGCAAACTACTTGACTATTTCACAGCAAAACTTATCAAAGATACCTACGTGAGGGAACTGTCCCTTATATACTGTGATAGTGTGCTGTACTGCCCCTTTCCCCCGCCACTTTCACGGCCAAAACTTCGACTTCACGTGCACATAGTGTGAGTAAGTATTAACCTTTGTGTTGCTGATAGTAACTTGATATTAACCCTCTGCTTCCCAAGCAGCCGACTTGTACTGTATCAGTTATATTGCAATTTTAGATATGTTACGCCCCCATCCACACCGTTTAGATGACTTGAGAGGCCAGATGCTTCGACCCTGACATGTCATGGCTAGATTCTAACACAGACCTGGAGACCTACAGGGTCCTAGAGGGAAAAGGGAAATACTTCATACCCGACAGAACATTGCTGGAGAGCAGAAAAGGAGGTGAAAGGAGACAATTTTAGCGAAGAAAAATTTTCCGTCGCAACCCAATTCAAACCCGGGAGTTTTGAATGAAAGGCGAAAATCTTAACCTCTATGCCACGAGAGCCCCCAA